ATATATATATATATAGATATATATATCATATAGATTGAGGTAGTGACCAAACGTCAGACTATTTTACATATGTGTCTAAAATAGTACATAAGATATATATCTTACATTAATGTATTTGGATATCATGTTTATAATTTTACAATGTAATACCTAGTTCATAAGTATTATTTGTAGTCTGTTAATTGTAATTGTAACATGTTAAATAAAATACTACTTAAAATTTCGGTACCATTAATGGATACTTATCCCCAGGGGGATCTGTTTGGACAAAAAGTCCACATCGATCTCCCAGGGGTAAGGATGCTGGTGGAAGGAGTGACTGTTTGACTGACTGTTTTGGGTCCCCGATTTATTCACATTAAACAACTGCTACAGAGTAAACGACTAACGATTAATTGTTAAATAAAACCAATTAATAAGAATAAATAAATACGTATATTATCACGTGGAGTAACATAAATGCAGAAATATTCAAGATCAGCTCATTATAAAAATATAATCCGTCAGACATTGTTAAACTATATATATAAGCGAAAAGAACTTCTTTCATACATTAGTATCACATATTAAGCAATCATACAAAGCAAGTTCTGGAGAAAAATAAAAGTGTCACGATTAAGGCACTACGCAATAAACGGGGAAGAGACAACAGTGCCGTTTAAGTCAACAACTAACCACAGACGCTGGAACAATTTTTTAAATAAATCGGGTGTTTGTGATTGGTTGACTGCCAGTTACTTTCTATTGGCAAATTTCCTCCTCATTGCTTCAAAGAGGTAATACGCAAAAGCAAATTAAAGCTGATATTACGACGTAGGCTTCTGTTTCAAAACTGGCCGTTTTACATTCATGAGATCGCAGAGCTCGTTCCTTATTGGCCTCAGTTCTGACACGTCTTTCTCCCAGTCGGTTTCGGCTAGGACGGTCATTACCTAGTACAGAATAAAGAAGATTAGTTAACGAGCCGCAGTGCTTGACGAATTAATTATCAAACAATGTAGCTCAAAAGATTATAACATTCCATAAGGTAGCAAAGATGCTTATTGACTTTTTTTGCCTTTTTTATTTATTACAAATAAGCTAAGTTATTCACTACAGAGAACTACAGAAGTTAAATCATTTTTTAACCAACTTAAAAAAAAGGTTCTCAATTCGACTGAATATTTTTGTGTGTGCGTGTTACGCGATTACTCCGGCTTGTAAAACAGTTTCGATGATTTTTTTTGCCTCAGTATTGGTCCCATTTAAATTTGAAGAAAATATTCCACCTCTAAGGGTACTTCTACCCTACCCTACTACTAGGGAATGAAACCGGTTTTGCGCTGTGTCCCGTAACAGATTCCAAATAAAACTTGGCAAATAGATGTAATTCTATGAACTTTCGAGGTCGGTTTTTTTATGAACTTTCGAGGTCGGTTTTTTTTTATAAATAGTTTCAAATATTTTAATCGGAATCAACGGGAGGATAAACTAGTATCTACTTTATGTAAGTATATTCTTCATAAGTATTACACGACATTTGCTTCAGGATTCATTGCAGGCGTCGAAACGCAACAGAATTGTCAAAGCGATGCGGACGATGCAGTATAAATCAATACATATCCATTTCATTCCCCGTCCTTTGCTGTTGGATCAGTCCTGTCTTGCAAAGCTCAAACGCTTATCCAAATTACCTGATCCAAGTTCTCCGATGGCACAGAACTCTCGTCTCCGTACAGCGTAAGGGCTTCGTACAATCTGGCAGCAGCGCAACGTCGCACGTAGCGGTCGGCGTAACACAAGCAGATGACCAGCTGCCCTAGTGCCTGACTACAAACCGTACCACCCACCTGCGAACAAAACATTTGAAGAATATTGATAAGAATTTTGTAACGTATCTCCTTCCATCTCCTACAAAAACGATACCACATCCGGCAGTGGCTTTATTTTGTGATTTCAAGCGACGAGACTACGAAGTCGTGCGCTTGGTGGCGAAGCCACACGCCTATCCATGACGGTTGCAGCCCGTCATCCTGAGACGTAGTTGACAAATCCCAGATGTCTGTAATTTCACCAGCACCCTTACCCTTCATAACCGAAACACAGTAATGCTCACATTAGTGCTTGACGGCAGATTACTATCTATCTCCACTGTCTCTTTCCAGTGAGGCTATTAGGGAAAATTATTTTTAAACCGGTAACAATGGTCGTATCCCTAAATGACTATTTCATTTTGACATAATAGTTTGACATTAGAAAAAAACGAGACAAATATATTTTTCTTTGAAATTTCAATCAGTTTCAAAGCTAGTCTTTAAATTTGCAAAGTGGTCCCACATTTTAGACAACTGTTTGTAGGACATTGCGTCTCTAGTATTATTTATGCTCACTGCGCGGTACGAAGAGCAAACTTCTTGTGACCTGAAAAATGCGGTAATATAAAAACTATCACACTTACCTGAATCAATTGACATAGGACATTGATGGAATCAAGAAGTTTGTAGATATTTTTCGCTCCCCTTAATTCCAGCTTAAGGTACTTCAGAACATCCATTGCAAACGTGGACTCTGGATCTTCGAGTATTGGCGAAACTGAGCCTGAACAAATGATATTTACATGAGTAGGTAATTTCGAAATTTCAATATTTTCGGAGTCTGAACAGTTCTGATTTGATAAGTAATCTATTAAAGATGGACAGTTTAGGTTATTTGTGGATAAGTTCGCATTTCAAGGAAATAATATAGTACATTCACTCTTGCCTTGAAAAAACTCTAATTTTAGGACCCTAAAATCGTGTTCCAAAGTACCCGCCTTTTGAAGAAGATTCAGAAGTCTTCCCCAAATCCCTTAATGCCGTGTTGAGTCTTTATAAGAATTAATTTCATTTTTTTTTCAGAGCACGAACGTTGAAGTGAGAAGTATGAACACCAACGTTTTAGGATCCCCAAGTGACCCTGATCATGTTGCCGAAGATTGAGGTTTACCATGTTGTAGAAAATCGAAGAATTAATTTAACACTTAAAAAAATTTTTACATCGCATGTTTTCTTTACACCCTTAAACTTACACGAGTTTGTCTCGGTGCTGATATGATGAAAGTGATGACAAAAGTCAACACTAGCTTGTCATCTTTAATTTTATACAATTCTACTCACCGGAACTCAACAGTCTATCCAAGAAGTTAAAAATAGGTCCAGTAATCCTTCTAACGTGTATATTGTCTGAGAATACTTTGATAATGGTATCGCAAATAGATTTCAACATGTCTTTGTCGCTATGCAGCGTGTTTAAGTACGTGTAGAGAGATTGAGTTGTGTGCTTCACCTGAAATTAAAATTATAATAACGTTGTACGTCTAAAAAAAGTATCTCACAGGGAAAGACCGAGAAAAGCTCACAAGGTTTACTTATGACACAAAACTAACAAAAAGTTAGATAATCTATGTAGTAATCTCACTTAAGCTCAATCCACACAGAGGCGGTACAGCTGGAAAAGCGGTCCGGGGGCGGACCTGCGAGAAGCGAATGCGTGCCGGGGCGTGCCACACAGAAGTTCCAAGCGTAGTTCGCGGCGGAATAACGGCCCGAAGGTAGTCAGTGTGACACCAAAAGCGGCCACGTTTCATTTTCACCACATATTTTAAAGAATAAATCACATCGCTGTCGGATAATGGTCAAGTAAATTTTTTTGCATGCGCGTCCACAGCACGCCGTGTACGGACACACATATTCGCATAATCTCACGGTGCACTTGAGTCGCATAGGGCAGGTCATCGCATGCGCCATTCATTTTAGAATTAAAGCGGTCGCTCGGTGTTTAAACGATTACAACAAATAGTAAATGTGTTGATTGTTGTGGTTATGGTCATTTGAACAATAGCTCCTCAAATCTAGAATTGTTTAGCATTTTATTTCTATTTCATAATCAATTCTAACACATTCAGTTCTGCATATATGTGTTAGCCCACAAAAGGACAGTTACGAGATATTCAGCTATAAAGATTGTTATCAAATGATTTGCAATGAATGTAGTTAATTTTTGTAAGATAACAAACTTATGATAAGTAATTAAATAAAAATGGTTTATGCAAAATTCGACAACACAATTATTACTTTATCTTCACACTAACCATCTATTATCAATAGACTACTCAGCCAGCAACACAAATTCTTTCATTTTTTTTTATCTCTCGCGTCGCCTTCGTTTTACTCACATTCGCCTTCATTCGTTTTCTTTCAAATTGATATAAATCAATTAACTTTTAGTGCGGAATTGACGCACCGTCAATAGCCAAATTATTATTTATGATTATTTTAAATTACATGACAAAATTTAAAGTATTTACGTTGTCAAAAAGCTATAAAACATGTACTTAAACTAAATCTAAAAATAGTTACAAACCAAAAAGAAAAGGTAGTGTTGTAATTCGTATTCATAGTTTAACCACATGTAACACTTTTTTGCGAAATTCGCCTATGAGACGAACTAGGTGTTCGGGAAACAATATTTTGACTTAACAATTACTAATTATTTTTAATGATTTTAATGAAAATAATAAAAAAAATATTAAACTTCATGTCCCAAGGTATAAGACTGCATACATAAGTTATTTTACGATTTTCTGTGGGTTCACTCATTTATGAAGGACACCACCCATATATTCGGACCCATAAATAAATTAAAAAATATCATAAATTAGAAATCGATCCCATATTCATAATATCGATAGCATTTAAAAGTTGAAATTTCACCATACGCATCCTTACGACATTTTAATCTGCCTTGACAATTTTGAACCCTGCTTAGTTTGGTGTTACGATAGCGATCTAGCTATTACGTTAAGTAAGAATTCAATTCATTCGTGCACAGGATTTTTTATAAAAATACATACCAGGCTCTCAGTAAGCTCTCCGCCACTGACGACCAAGCCTTTGACGACATTGTATCTATACGCAGGATAGCGCAACAGCTGAACGAATCTAGGCATGGTGTGTCCAGGAAACAGCCATAGTACTACGTTTGAATTCTCGCTGGTAGCTTCGTTTTCGTCCTCATTTGTTTGGGGTTTTAATTCCACTTCGTCAGATGGGAAAATGCGTTTTAGAGCGTCGTGGTGGGGAATGTTTGTGATTGGAGGATCGCTGGAAGGTAAATACCACATCATAATAATAATAATGGTCTCAAAATATGGAAGCCTGTACTGCATGTACCAGAGCAAAAAAATTCGCTCTAGGACACTACGCAAAGCACCCAGACCAGAATTAAATTAGGAAGGTTCGTTTTACATGTAGACCCTACCTCGAACTCGGTACCACTACTCTAGCAATAATACTAACCTCTGTCACCGAAATCGTTTAAGTGTTATTAAATAAGAAAATAGACACATATGTTACCAAAAAATCTATTTTTAATTTCAATTTAGAAATCTTATTATTAATAATAATATGTGCCAAACAACCACATCAAATGCCTGGTCTCAAACTAAGACATCCCTAAACCTTATAAGTATCAGAGCAACGAATTCATTCCCAAAACACCCAGATCAGAACCAATTTGAAAAAAACTTTTCCCATATTGGTCCTAGCGGGAATCGAACTCGGGACCTCCGCATCCAGCGCCTAAAACGTAAACCGTTAGACCACGAGGTCGTCAAAATTTCTTAGATATTGGCTGTTCATGACTGATGATGATCATATACAATTGACGTACTTGTAAATTAAAGACGTAAATATCCTCCCGGCATGTGCTCTAGTGCGATCGATTTTTTCAACCGCCTGCTGCGCGATGCCACTCATTATTTCCCTCATAATGTCAGCAGTGTTGAGATAGGGAGCTTCTACAGCGCATTGACGGCAGATTGAGAGGAGGCCTTGGTATCGAAAACAGAAATCAAACTTTGTATAGCATTACGATTAATCAGACATATATAAGGAAGCCATATAGAAAATCGACGGTTTAACACTTCGTGATTATGGGTCGAAGTTAAGTTAGTACTACATTACAATACAAGAATCATTCTGACGTATAAAGGTAGGCGTCCACAGATCGGTAGCGCACGCATCGGACGGATCGCATCAAACGACCCCGTTTGTGGCAGTGGGTCCACTGTATCCGCACCAATCGGATTGCCGACGCAACTACTAGCTATCGGATTGTCGACGCCACTTTTCGTAGTGAGCGGACGAATGTAACTTGCGTGAGTGTAACTGTCGTGGTGGCTTGATTGTTGGTTGAAGAAGAAAGAAGAGAAAAAAACAAACAAAAGGAAACATGATATCTGGATACATGACATATTTAAGCAGAGATCGCAACGCAACGCGGTGCGCGTCCACTCAATCCGTGACGTCGGCACGCATCAGAAAAGTTGCCCCTACGAGCAACTGCGTCGGCATTACCGACAGGCCGGTGCGTGCGGTCCGTGCGATGCGGATCAGTGGACGCACTTGTATGAACTTCTACAAAGAATACTAAAATCCGTATAATGCGATCCGTCCGACGCGTAAGTTGCGGATCTGTGGACGCCTACCTTAAAGTTGTGGATTCTATCGAACAGCAGATCTAAAAAATATAATCATCTTTCTAAGGGCAAAAATAATAAATCGACAACTTGATGAATCTGCTTGTGTGTAGCACTGCCATAAATAAAAGTATGTGACTTTTGACCGCCACTGACAAAAATTAGTTTCGTTCCCTAGACACCAAGCCTGTTATAGTGATGTGACTGATGTGACATGTTATGAATTTCCACCTTATATTACTTCAATTCTCATAAGTCTAAGAAGAACGTAACTGAACATAAAATGCAACTTTGGATCCATACTGAGCTAGAATATACAAAACATTGACGCTTTAAAGCGCCATTGGCGTATCAGTCAAGTTAATGTACGATGCTTCAAAGCAATTTTTTTAGCATTAGACAAAAGGAAATTTTGTGTCTTAACAGGCACCGTTTAATATTAGTCATTGTTGAGATGTGAGTTAGTGATAAGATGTTAAACTATATTTCTCCGTCATGTGTAACTTTATGAAACCTGTCATAAAGCAAAATAGTCACCAGAAACTTACCCGTCATACTAGCTTCCCTAACCCACGCCCCGATATCGCCTCTCATATCAACAGTGTATTCTTGTAAACAATCCAGCAGTGCATCTACGATCTCCCCAATGTACTTTTCAACTCCATTTACAATGCCTATAGTTTGACAGACTTCGGTCAAACCAATAACCGCGTCGCGACGAGCTTCCGCCCATTTTAAGGTGCTTTCCGTCACTTTTGTACAGTCGATCAGAGATTGAACCACGGTTTGTAGATGTTCGATGAGAACGAATTTCGGAAGAGCACCTGTAATGTATTTAAAAAGTTTTTATAATAAAACCGGGTCATGTTGCCGTGACGAAGTGAAATCGTAGTCGTCTCGTGAATAAAACAAAATAACTAGACCACCCAGAGCGTATTTCGCCCACGAGTATCGAAATTTAAACTTGAATTGACAAACCAATAAAATAGTTAAATTAGAAACACGTAATAGATGTACATCCTCAGGAATTCCTTACACTTCGCAATTTGGAAAATTCACAGCAAATACAAAAATTTGTTTAGTACGTGTGGCGCACTATAAGTTTCTGGAATGAATAAGAAAAAAAATAATATAAATGGTCAGAAATGAATTTATTGTATCTCAAAATATTCTCCGTTAGCGTTAATGCACTTTTTCATACGAATGAACCAATGTTGAAAACATTTATGCCACTCCTCTGTGACAATCTCTGAAACATATTTTTCATACACTGCGCCATCTGAGCCGATGATGTAAATCGTTGATCGCGTAACTGGTTCTTAATTTTTGGAAATAAAAGCCACAAAGTGCCAGGTCGAGACTGTACGCGGGATGGCAAGGTCAACGTTGTTCACCTTCAAAAATTCATTTGTCTATCTGGCCGTGTGAGAACTGGCATTATCGTGGTACTAGATGATACGGCGTTTACGGTTATTTTTACGGAGTTTGTCAATAACTTCCGGCAAACCAATGGTCGTCTACCAATCACTATTTACGGTACAACGATTCTCCAAAGCAACAGTAGTTACGTGTCCAGTTTTATTAAAAAAAAGAGGCAATCCTCCGCCTAGAGGCATTTTGGACACACGCCACTTTGGTTGGTTTCGGCTCATCTTGAAAGACCCATACGCTCGATTGCTGCTTTGTTTTGGGATCGTAACTATAAATCCATGTTTCGTCACCTTTTACTATGTCCCACACCAAATTTGACGCCCCTTCGTTGGATCTGGTAAGCATGGCATTGCACCAAGTGACGCGATCCGTTTTTTGCATTCTGCATAGTGCTTCATTGCCAAAAGCAGATTGAAGCCGAGCGAAGCTTCGCTGAACTGTTAAATTACACTTAAAGTCGTTGAAAATCATACTACGAAAATTTTCACGAGCTAAATCCATGATGTAGACAACCAATTTCTAAAATGACGCCACAATGTAAAAACAAGTGACAGTCGGATGAAACAAACTGTATTTTACAGCCAAAGAGTTCAATTCTCAAATGTTGTAATTACTTTTTAAAAATTATTAATGTAAGTGGCCAGTTTTGGAAACAGTTTATAGTGCGCCCTATGTAGAAAGTGTCCGGATCAAAGCCTATGTGCGCTGACAATTTGAACCCAGCAAATGTAACAAAAAGTAAACTTACCAACAGCTCTAGCATAACCCATTCGCAGCACAAGGCCATTGACTCCAGTGTTAGTCAGCTGTTCACAATATTTGTCCATCAATTGCATACGCTTCTGTTTAGCGTTCAATTCGCCATACATAAGGTTATCGTCGCGCAAGTATTGATCGAACACGAGTGGTAGCGCGTGAATTGCTTTTTCGCGAATCGCTTGTACTTCGTGAGAGAGGCATTCTTCGATAAGGTTTAGCCACTCGTCTGTAAACGCATAATATTTATTAAACAATCATAATTCTAAAGAATTCGTCGTAATAAAGTAACTCTTGTGACGTAAACAACCAGAACCAATTTCAAAAACCTACCCCAACTTTCATACTGAGCAACCCGTAAAATTATTTAAATTTGTGATAGGGGCTGGAAAAAAAAAAGAAATTTTGAAAAGTTTGTTTACGAAGTATAACCAGCGACCTCAAAGTAACCGCAGAGTGGCGCTGAGTCAATTTAATATAAATAATACAAAATATAAAAAAATATATATATAAAATTGTTAGATTACCTAGTGATACAAATTACCAACAACATAAAAGCAAAATTCCTTCAATGTGAATGAACACACACCAGCGACTGTTGCCATGCCGAGGTCACCGCTCTAACCAACTAAGCTACAGACAGGTGTGCATGCTCCGTCGTCGACCTCATCGTTACTTTCCATCAGGTTAGATGAAGGTCAAATCGCACTTACATTTTATATAAAAAAAAAACAAGACTAAATCAGTAGATTTTACGAATTTCTCTATGTGCTTGTTACAGATACATATCTGTATTAGGTATAAACGGCCTATTGTCGTCGACTCCACCTTTGAGAAACTTATGAAGTTTCGTCTCTCAGCCAGGTACTTTTACAGCTACCAGAAGATGATGAGAGATGTTGTATTTTTTTTTTATGTATAGTTCGATCTTTGCATCAGTTTTTAAAACATTATGATAATATTACAATGTAAGAGTAAGTTCGCTGACCGATAGTTTCATGTCCGTGGTAGGGCGCGGCGGCCTGCGCCAGCGCAGCGATGCAGTGGCAACATGCCTGGCGCATCAGTTCACCGCCCAACCCGCGGAACTGCTGCCGCGCTCGCAAGCGGCTCACCAGCTCCCGCACCGATATTAATATCTCCGGCGATATCAGCGTATCAGCGTTTTTACCTGTTGACAAGTTTACAGTGAACTTCGACATTGTATACATACAAATATAGCCAACAAATTTTAAGTTAATAGCCACTTTTTATTTTTTTCTTTCTTTACAATGAATATACCTGTAGTTAAGTAGTTAACACTTACCATCAACTAACTTAGCTTGAGACAATGCCAAGATGGTCTCACCGATGCCCAGAATAGCTCCATGACGCACATTCAAGTCAATAGACTCCGTTTTATTCACGAGCTTTGGCAAAACCACCGTTGCCACGTATTCAGGAAGCTAGACAAAAGATAACACGAATATAGACAAAAGATTTTTGTTTATTTAAATATTAAGAAAATATACATTTCATTATATTTTCTTACCTCGCACATTTGTAATAATTATTTCGTTACAAAGCCTGATATTGAAAACAGTGTGAAGAATATAGAAATAAATACAAAATTAGAAATGATAGTAAACTAAAAATAATTAACCTACTTATCCTAGCTAAAGCTAAAACACATATGTCAGGAATTGCAAAAATATTGACGTACGGTGTCGTTCTAAATGTGAATTATTATTTTTATCTTTTTACAAAATATGCTGCCAGCACCAAGTTTTAACAAAGGAAATAGATAGTATGCTGCGTGCTCCACAAAAAAGTTTACATACCGTAGGGGTAATTTTATTAAGCGCTTTAGCTGCGAGTTCTCGTATAGCGCAGTCCCAATGTTCGACTTTCAAATCGACTAGATGATCAATTAATGGCTGCGTATATTCACTGTAGGTTGCAACTTGAGGTGCGATCACCAAGTATGCGTTATTCCGTGGGCCCACAGTTTGAAAATCTGCCGTAGTTAGAATGTCAATTCCATGAGGGAACATGCCATGTCGGCCCACGTTTTCTTGATAAGCCGCTGACGCAGCACGACGACAGTTTATCTGAAAGATATAGGATTTTTTTATAATATCAAGTGAAGGAACAAACAAGTCGTGCGCCTGATGATAAGATACACGCCTGTTCATAACAGTTGCAGAGCCACTCAGAGATTGAAATCGCAAAGATCTGAGGGGGCACTGCCAGTGCGCCCGACACTCTGAGACACAAGTTGACAAGTCCCATGTGCCTGTAATTTGACCAGCACCCTTATCCTTCAAAACCGGAACACAGTAATGCTAACATTATTGTTTGGCGGCAAAAATAGGTAAAATGGCAGTATTTCCCAGGACGAACACAAATGAATATCGTCAAAAAATCTTGTTGAAATAATCCTGTGTGCAGGCGACATAACTGTTACGTAAACTGTAACTCCTCCCGCACCGCTCAGCTACTTCAAAAACCAACACAGTTAAGTAGTAGATCTGTACATCATTGATCTTATTTCAAATAAGTTAGTTTTGTGACTTAAGTAAGGTACACTTGCCTTGTGAAAGAATTCGTCCAGGATAGTACTGTATGCATCTGCTCTCTGAAGCCTCTTACCTAATCTGGGCGGTCCGAATGTGACCTGCCGACGGTTATATTCCGGCGTGGTAAAGGTCCATGGCGCTATATGGCGCACCGGTGTGGGTCGGAGCTCTGACCGGCCCGAACAAGGCCGAGCTGCGTAAGCTACAGCAGGTCATGGCGGTCAGAGCAGGCGGCGTGTGTGCTCGCTGGTGCGTCTCTCTGGGACTTCGATGCTGGGGTCCTTGCGGAGATGTATAGGCGACGCGCAGACGCACGAGCCCACGAAGAAGGACCGACCACCGAGGAGGAGGCATGGTAGCTTCGGCAGGTATCTGTGCCACATAGTCGGTAGAGAGCCACTGCCGGCATGTCACCACTGCTCTTGCAGTGAGGAACTGCTCGCAGAGTGCTAAGCGTGGGCGCATCAACGCGCTTCCCTCGCTGCAGTGGTGGGAAATGACCTCTCGCTGCCGGCCGTGGTCAAGGCCATGGTCGCCGACGTGGCGTCATGGGAGGAGATAGCCTCATTCTGCGAGGAAATGATGGCGCAGAAGGAGGTTGCGGAGCGAAATCGAGAGGACGATCCACTCTCGGCTCCGATCCGCAGGAGGGGAACGGGGCGAAGAAGGCGGGCGGTGGAAGGCCCTGCTTCCGCCCCCGTAGGGGTCCTCGGGCGTCAGGATTGGGGAATCCTACCGCTCGAACATAAAGGGGGTCCGTGGCGACGGTAACGGATTGCCAAGTGTTCCAGGCAGTCCCCTGCAACTAGGAGAAAAGGGTGAACTATTCCCACCCTGGACTCTGGGAAGGTCCGTGCAAACGGACGGCACCGGTGGGTTCGCGGAAGAATGCGGAAACGTTCCGGCGTTCCCGCCACAAGGTGCGTGGAGGAACACCCCCGGAGTTTTAGTGGGTAGGCCTCTCTTCTTAGAGAAGAGTCCCACATAACCCCGCGCCTCCCCCGGGCGCGCGGTATGCGTAACGCATTTCTCCAGGTAAAAAAAAAGTGTAGTACTGCCTCCTTGCCCATTTTTGCCGCCAAGCAGTAATGTCAACATTACTGTGCTCCGGTTTTGAAAGGGTAAGGGTGCTCGTGAAATTACAGGCACATAGGACATGTCAACTTATGTCTCAGGGTGTCGGGCACAGTGGCAGTGCCCCTCAGATCTTCGCAATTTAAAGCTGGCGCTGCAACTATTATGGACAGGCGTTTAGCTTACCATCAGGCGCACGATTTGTTAGTCGCGTCCTAGATATTATTAAAAAAAATTATAATATGGTGTTACATCGGTGAATATATTTTTTCTTGGAACATACCTCTCTATCAAAACAGGCAGTAGCAATCAACGCATTGGCCAGCGTGTTTGCATAGGGGGCTAGTTCATTGGCGTCGTACGCCCTGGCGAAGGCCCATGCAGCGTGACACGCGGAGTCCCGTGCAGCGCGGCCTCCGCCGCCGCCGGCCAATCGCGGCTCGTCGCGAGACAACGCTGCCACCACGGCCGAAACTGCCGACCCTAGTTGCTGGGGTGATAGGAGGCCGCGACGTGCTGCAATATATACAGAAAATGAAAAAGATTACGTTTGCCCCACGGTCTAATCACTACGTACATTTTGCTTTGTAGGTCCAAGAACATGGGTGTCATTAATCAATAGACGGCGCTGGCATCTCTTTTTTACCATACAATTTTTAAATAATTCTTCAGGACCCGAAATATATTACATAAAGGCAGTGTATTAGCTTCTAAACAAGTTTAAATAAAAACATGAACCTAGAAAGCCAGTAGAAAGCATGTATTTGGAGATATATATATGTATAGGGAAAAAATACTTCACGCGTTAACCACCAGGGGCCTTATGACCCGATGACTATATACTCGTTATGTATAAGGCACTCTTTGGTTAGCCCTGCCAGCAGGTTAGGGTGGTGATGCAGTCGCTCTTTGTGCTTAACAGCATAAGATCGAACTTCTTCCTTTACTGTGTTGATTTTTGGTAGTCACGGACTCTCGAGTTTCGGATTTTACTACAGCTTATTCCATTGGTGGAACTAGTTGAACTTTTGTCTCGGTTGTTATTATATTTTATTTAACTTTTTAAATCAGACAACAATGACGCATAAAATCGAAGAATCATCGGTATACGACGCCCTTTGGCCTAAACTCCTTAACGAAGTTCGATAGATGATCGGCCGTCACTTTCACCACAAAACGAAATAAAAACAGAGGTTGTGGCGGGACTCCAAACGCTCGACCATCAGGGTGTACTTGGTTTTCATTCTGATTTTTTTTATAATACTAGTGACGGGACGAACATATCATGCGCGTGATAGTAAACGATATGTCCGTCCATAACAGTTGCAGTGCCACTCAGAGGTTTAAATCACAAAGATCTGACGGGTACTGCCACTGCGCCCGACACCCTGAGACATAAGTTGACAAGTCCCATGTGCCTGTAATTTCACCAGCACCCTAACACTTCGAAAACGGAATTCAGGAATCCCTGGTCCCTGGTAAGTCCCTGGACGAGGACTTTTACAAGGAGCTCTACTGCTACTATAATCCACTATCTCCACATAAAATAATTTATTATAATATTTGTAATTTAACAGTATAAAAACTAGCATACCTAGCTCAGCGAGTGCCATACAACCTCCATGCCAAGCAGTCTCCCGCTCATTGGGCTCAAACAAGGTCAGCACACTCTCACAAACATCCGCGGCGGCAAGCACGGGTAGTCTCGCACCAATCCTGCCAACACCTTTGGCGGCCGACCATCGGACTACTGTATCGTCGTCACGAAGAGAACACAGCAGAAGTTCTACTACATCCTCGACCTAAAAAAAAGTTAAATTCATTAATAAAGAAAACAGTTAATTTATGCTCATTGGACCAAGATCCTCCATATTTGATTTTTTTTCGTTTTTTCGTTTTTTTATATTTCACAACAACAGTTACAACTATCCATCATCATCCACTGTAAAATGTCCACTACTGAAAGTAAAATGTTGTCTTATGCTGTCTGGCCCCTTAACTGCGTAACTCGAGCGCGAGACTAGTTTAAATTGAAATGTCCTAACCATATATTTCAGAAACCTGCTCAGAACTTTTCAATTCAAACTCAGAATGTTCAAGTTTGAACATCATTCACGTTACATGACAATAAACTGCAAGATAGCTATTATCGTTTAAATTGTTATAGAAAATGGCCGCATTAATAGGACTTACTCACGCAACCACATCATCAGCAATTGCAACGAGATTCATACCTCTTGTGGAATGTCCTGGTCATCATCATCCGGTGAAATTGCCATAGATTCCGTATCACCGGCCGCAGCGGTGGTGCCACCTAGTGTAACTGCCAAGGATCGCGAGCCTCGTGTGTACCGCCATGACACCACACGCGGCCGGAGGAATGTTAACCCTTACAAAAAAATATTCCAGTTAACCAACAGGTATGTAAAGGCTGGCAACTAAAATGCCCATTGCCATACAAAATGGGCGTTAGAGTCAAAACTCTTCAATTTAATTGCCATTTCAACCTTCATTTTCCTCATTTTGTTGGTCTAAATCGCAATAAAACTAACATAGTATAACATGGTATAACCATGAGAACATATGTAGTTATTAAGCTGATGTAGGAAAAGTCATAGAAATCTGAAGAGAAAAGCAACATTGCAAATCATTGATACAAAAATTTAATAACTTTTTCACTTCTTGAAGTTCGTATTTATGCTGGGTGTAGGCTGCATAAAATAGGATTTTATGCTCTAGTCATTGACTTACAAATAAATGGACGACGGGTCTAATACAAAAACCACGAAAAAAATGTCCCAAGTCAACCTATTTAAACGTAATGACATGTAAAGGAATATGAAAAAGCTAAAACGTTGAATTTAAATTGTAATGTCATCGCAGTACTGTCTAATTTTGCTTGCTTCGCTGTCAGTCGAACAAACGAAGACTAAAGCGTGAATGACGCTCTGTATACGATTTTAACGCCCTATAAGTTCGGACACTTTTTAGCGCGGACCCGACGTCCATGTCGAATGGCTCTAGTGCATAAAATAGGATTTTATGCTCTAGTACATAAAATAAAAAAAAACCGGTGGTTTTTTGTGATGGTCTAATTGTTGTATTTTTACATTCAATTTTAATTAAATAATCGTTTATTTGTAATATAGCTGTTTAATTTCCTCGCAATCGAAGTGAAAAGCAGAGTGTATAACTCGTTCATAAAACCCATTTCACCCTAGACTTAAGTATCCCTTGGGTGGTATAACTCGGGTGGATATACTCGTCTCGGGTAAAATGACGCGTTCTATGCACTTGTTGCACAATCTAATATTACAGCATCCGCAAGTTATTGTTGCGAAAGGTCCCCATTATATTGTCCAAGAAATTTACAAAGTTTAATATGTGACAATACTTTAAAATCAATACCCAAATATAAACTTACCAATTCTCTGGACAATTTTAACACCATACTTTCTTATTAACATAAGTTTGTGCTGCTTATAATTCAGCTTAGTAACCCAGTCTAATAACTTAGGTGCAAATGGTAATAGGTCCTCTCCTTTTCCATGTTTAAGGACTGCAGCAACTGCAGCCAATACCCCATAATGTATCTTTTTCTCATCATCCAAATTAGAATGTAAATCACGGGCCCAATCAAAAAATGCGCCCAAGTAGAGTTCTTTTACATCTGATCTGTAAAGAAAGTATAGAATTTTGATTGATTTTTATTGAATTACTTCTGTAGCTTCCTAACAACATTATTATAGAATTTTTATCATTATTATGGTGTTCCATTTTAATTTAAAAATATTGACTATGGTCAATCTTAGTTTAAATACCTCAACTGGATTGAGACACATGTATCATAAAAACTCAAATATATAAAATAAATTTTATTTAATAACAACAGATATAAAAAACAAAGATCGTAAAACAACATACAGATTGGAACTAGGTTTTGTCAATAAATAAAAAAATATAAGAACCAGGATTTACAAGAGATTTCATCAAAAATTTCTAACCTAAAAAATACCACCCTGTGTGGCACCACACTTCCCATTGGCTCAGTTCCCATTATACAGGCAGCAATTTATGTGGGTTGTTCAATTAATTGAAGTCCCTAAACTCTGAGTCGGCAACCATTTTTATTATTATTTTAAAATTGGAGGCAGTGAAAAAACTATGTAAGACCAGCTTATGTGGAAGTATAGAACAAAGACATCAATTTTATTATAATGTGTACTACTTGATATAGCCATATTACCTCTTGTTTCATTAATGGTCATTTACTCCCTACGAAAATGAAGTTTGAAGGAGTATAAGAAATAAAAATGAAGTATCAAATTATTGTATTTACATACCTTACAAGAAACTTAGAAGCTAGAAATGCAGTGGCTTCAGCACATACATCCTTACTCAAAGCATATGTCTTACAAATGTTGAGTATTCTTTCCATTATGGTCAGTTTCTTTGAAGTGCCAGCATCTAAAATTTAATTATGGGAATTATTTGTTACATACAACTTACTGTGAAACATGTTTACGTTTTTTATTTTATTTAAAACTAAGATTATTTATTTGTCTAATAATTCATAAAAGTTTGCATTTGCCTTTAAAATACATATATGTATATCCATAAAAACAACACACATGATACCACATATACTTTGAGGATTTGAATCTGTTTTTGCTATTACTATGTAACATAAATCCAATCTTCTTATCATATTTCGAGTTCTTAGGATTTCGCGATTGTTACACATAGGAAATGAAACTATTTTTTCGAATTTAAATCACGTATATTTGTTTTTTCAAACAAACCGGCGTTTCGGGCCCTTTACAGGTCACGGTTGACGGGACCTGTAAAGGGCCCGAAACGTTGGTTTGTTTAAAAAAACAAATATACCTGATTTAAATCTGAAAAAATAGTTTCATTTCTTATCATATTGTTAGCAGACACCAATGCCATTGTGGTAAATAGATTTACTATATCTCATCTCACCTCACCAAGTGTTGCCCAGAGTGCACCAGACATTCAGAAATGGTATGCCATGCGAAGATGCTCCTTTTGGTGCACCCCATCCCACCCCCATAGAAGTAAAAGTAAATTGATAGATAACACTGACAATGCTAGTTTCCAAGTTATAAGCACAATTTGTGATCAAAATAGGCTTCCACTCCAGGATGTGAAGCTCACATGATTTGGCCCGAAATACTAACCTGGCTGTCCAGGTGCAAATCCATCTAGTCTGCTCATGTGGAAAGGAATAATGACAATAATAGACAGCCAGAGCAACAGTACAAATCGGCTGCGCCATGTCTCCTTGTCGTTAGGGTCCTGGGTTTCCAAAAACTGAAGTACTGTTAAGAGATCTGATACCTGTGAAATGATGAAAAATTAACTTGATTCACTATATCATAGGCGGCTGACTTATACCAAACTCGGTCAAAGTTGCAATCCTGCAGCAGCAGCATCATTTCATAATGTTACCGAGTAATGATTTCACACTAGCTTGCACACATTTGTCTAATTATTGGTAAAAAAGGACAGCTAGTTTACGCAGGGTGCATGTTTGGGACATAGAAGGAAAGTACTGTAAATATATAGGATATTTCGCATCATAGAGACATTGTTTAATTTTTTAAAGTAAGTAATACTACATTCAAAGACTTAAAAGTTGCTTGCCCCATCTGTATATCGAACTAACCAAATGTGAAAAAAAAAAACATTTGTATGCTACCTGTTGTAAAGATCAACCATTAATTTGAAAAACAAATACTCATAATATAGTTTTACTCCATTTAATTTTATACTCAAAATGTGAATAATTAGCCATTTCAGTTACTTTTTTAAACTTTAAATGTTATTATAACTAAAAATCTTACCTCATGTGGGAGATATCTAACAACTACTTTGTACCCTCTTACTCTAATAATCTGATACATATAATTAAATGTAGCATGTTTAAGCTCCATAGGAGACTCCTTGTCCTTAATCAGCGCTAGAAACTTAGCCAAAATCTTGTCCAAATAAGGATCAAGTAAATGTGGTTGCTCGTAATATTGTTTCAGTATTGTATAGAGTTTATCGTATTCTGCCTCTAAAGCTGGGGTATTATAAATATTTTTCACATTATCGATCATATTCATGACATCCTCGAACTCGGAAAAGTGCTCCAGAGCACATCCCAAGCCAATATTGTCGCATTCGTCATCCCGGTTTATGTCCGTTTCAAGCCCAACCATTTTTAAAATTGTACTAGTTGCAGTGTACGTAGTCGCTCAGAAACAAAGTTATAAAATTTTACAAATGCTATTGTTATATTATTATTAATTTGCTAAAAAGGAATATTATCTAAAATCCACCCAAACGCACAAAGTAGGTAGTACCTTCGACAAAAACAAAAAAAATATTATTTCCTTGGCGGCCACTAGACTTGTGCCAGTGTCAGAAAATTAACTTGACAGGGAACTTGACTTGACAGACAGTAATTGACAGTTGACAGGCAGTGGTCAGCAGTGTTGCCAGTCTTTTGCGAATTTAAATGCCAATTCCCCACACGTAGAAATACTCAAACCCCCGAATGAGTTATTTTACAACTCCATTCCCCACAAAAACCCCAATCAAATTTGTAATTCCTCAGACATTTTATTAAGTAGCCTAAAATCGCCTTTTCCTATTTCAAACACAGCCTAAACATCACCGAGGCGTCGATTGCTTTTTTAATCGCCGCGCGACCCCTCGAAGTAGTCTAAATGGCGAAAATTCCTTAAAGGATGCAAAAAATAAAGGAAGAAAATTCGCCTAATCTATTAACAGTGCTGCCAGAAAGCAATGGAAAACGTGGTTATATTTTCTGTTGGGTAATTATCCGAAAAATTTCAAAAAGTGGAAATTTTTACGGAACAATTCCTGAAAAATACACGTCCGATTTTTCCATCCGATTTGCAGCGTTGCCAATGCAAATTATTCAAAATCCCCAAAAATCAAGTTTATAAATTTGGGGAGAATTCATTCATTCATTCATTTTATTTAAGAGCCATGCTCTTGTCGGTGTAGCCTCCTCCTTGGGGAGAATAAAGGTCATATTTTCCAAATGTAGTAATATTTATTCATTCTCAGTATTTATTACATTATTATTGTTACGCTTAAAAATATATCAATTTGACTTTCTTAGTCAAAATATACCCATCTATACATATACGTTATGCTATAATTAGAAATAAACTCAACAAGCTTGACGAGTGGCAAGTTGTGGTATTAAAATCTATCCATACATACCCGGGCCATGGATGGGTCATGCTCCGTCAGGGGCTCAAATTGTTGCATATATTTTGTATGAACTCGTTCACACATGTCCGTGTCCGGGCCCGCGCCGGGACGGGCCTGCAGTTCATACAAACTAGCAAGCTCCGTCCATGTCCCGGGCACGGCTCTGATGTGTGTGGATAGTCCTTTAAAATATCTACTGCTCGGCTTTGTTTGGCAACAGCTGTATTCTTTTTTCACATTGGGGACCGGTCAAAATGCAAGGAAGGTGTGTACGAGCGCTCTACACTCATGGACTGATCATCATCATCCTATTTAAGAGCCAGGCTCTTG